CCCCCCCCCCCCCTCCCCCCCCCACTGGACCACCTACGACGGAAGTATTTTTCCGGGTCAGCATGTGCCCAAACCAAAAACCTACCCGAAGATCAAGGAAACGGGTGACACAAGATGCCGCACACGCCCAACAGTACAATCCCAATGAGAACACTAAATAAAAGCAATGATGGTATGCACCGGTTCGAATTTTCTGTGCCACATCCGGCATGCGGGAGCACCGATCTTACCAGGTCGGCGCTACTTCAAGACAGGTTACCCCGAGGTATCCCCCTCCCGTGCTCATCACCTGCGCCATCTCCTGCGTTAATCGTTCAGTCGTCACCAGCAGCGGAAAGCCATTCTCCTCGTCCTTCTGCCTCTCATCCATCCTTCCAGTCCTCTCACGACACCCCCCCTCGCCCTCTCCTTTCTCCTCCGTCTCCCGCCACGCCGGCGGTGGTTCGGCGGCCGTATCACCCTTCGCCAGAACGTCCCGTTTCGCTCCCCTCGGTTCGATCTCGCCGTATTCCGGCCGGCTGTCGTCAGGCAAAGCGAATCCTCCGCTCTCACCAACCGGCGCTGTTCCGAGCCGGTCAGGACCGGGGCTAGCAGAACCATCGACGGGAGCGGTGGCGGTTTCAGCGGTAACCCCCTCTTCATCTTCTCCATTTGGGCCGTCGACGAAGGACACTGCATGTGCACCGTGGAAAAAAACATTCAAGCCGGTTAGCGCGGTCGATGGTACCAGTGAAAACACACGCACATCCAGGGCGGTGAGGGCTCGGGAAGTGTTTTCTCGTGGTCGGCGAGAGTGGGGACGCCATTGGCAGTGCTCGCTCGCTCAACAGTTTGGGGCCAGCGGTAAGCTAGCTATCCAATCCAAGACAACAGAGGCCGGTGGTGGGGGGCTCAGCTACTGCAACACTTGCGGCATGTGATGTACCGAATGGATGCAATCTATTCAGCAAACGAGTCTTCACGTTGTCGTTTCGTGCTCATGCGGCGGAATCAGTTGCCGATCTCAGGCGGAGACCGCGGGAGCAACTGGAGAGAAGCGGATAGACGAAAAACGTTGACCCTTTGTCCTTGCACCGTGGTCTGGAACCGGCGGGCGTCAAGTCCAAAAGTCACAGGATGAGACATTCAGATCGACAACTCCCGGTTCATGTCCCCACTTTGGTCCCTCAGTAGGGTGACCTCTGAGCTTTGGCTAACCTATACCCTACGATTTTGGGGACTTGGCGAATTCTTCCGCTGGGGCCACTGGCCGCTACCGTTGACTCACTGCGTGAGCCGGCTTGACTCTCGTAGCCTGAGTTACGACGTTCTCTTGAGACTCTCAACACGAACGGCTACTCACGAAGAAGGGCCTGTCTTCGCCTCCACATGTCCTCCTTGGCCTCGTCCTCTTCCGCGCCCACGTCCACTTCCTCCGCGCGAGCATCCTTGTTCCCGCCGCCTCCCTTCCCCCTCCCGGCTTCCCCTACCCTTAAGAGTAGGCGCGCCTCGCATACCTGCCGCCGCCGCTCGCTGCGGCTTTTGTCGGTGGTTGCCGCCGGAGGTGCCGCTGGTCCCTGCGGCGGCAGGAGGGGCGGCAGCTCGTTCTGTGTCCATCTCTTCCATGCATTGAGCAACGCTAGACGGACGAGCGACCTGGTGGGAGCGGACGGAAGCAGGGGCGGGGGTGATCTCTGTGTGTCCTATAAACATCATTGCGGTGTGAGCGCTTTTTGTTTTAGCAGCATCGACCGCGCTAACCGGCGAACCAATGAAAATATCCCAGTCAGTGCGACTGGAATCAGGAAATGCTTCTGAGGCATCATCTGTGTGTTTGCGCGTGTAGTTTTTTCGTCTGCAGCGTTGGTGCTGCACCCAACGGGGTCGCACGTGAGGTGGTTGCAGAGGGGAACGCATGCTCTGTTCTGCTCGGTCGTGCCGTGCGCAACGAAGATCTCACTTGAAACTGTAGGGGTTTTTGCCCACGGGGAGGGAGGGTGTGCTCATAGTCGTGCATGCCGTAGTCGTTAGACCATTGACCTCGCATCCCTACAAAGCCGGGACGGAGCACGCCTGATTCTCGCCGGACCAGGCTCTCACATCACCAAGCGCGAAGCGCCGTGAGATATTCGGCGAGTCGCATGAAGGGTGCGCTGCATCCTGCTAAGGGTGTTCGGCATCTTGTCCTTACTTCCTTGCGTACGGATGGCAGCTAGCTGCGTATGACATTATGTATAACCTGGTGCTTTCACTTCCAGAGACAGTTATTAGCAGTGTGCAACTGCCTCGAGGGTGCTTGACCAAGTTTATCACAACCCGGTGCGATCACCCCCGTTGCGCGGAGTGAGGGTTCTCGACCCCGCACAACATAATCTACTCAACCACCATCATTCCCACGGGGGGCGGGCGCCTTCTTGCTTACAACGTGAAGATGTTAAGGAGTGTGGCTGCTAGCATGAATAGGGTACATCTTATTCTTGATAGGATGCGGATCGGTCAGGAGGTATACCCTTCTGACCCTCACCCCCTTAGAATTGTCTACTCTGTGTACCCCCTGAGATGAAGCTGGATCCCCGCTTCATCCCAGACCTTTGCTGATCGTCTCTAAGCAATAACAAGCAACTTTCCCATCTCAACGTGGTCGTGGACAAGCGTGTCAACGACAGAACCTTCATCTATCTCTAGGAGCAAGCCACCGCCCATGGCATCACTCCTTGAAAAAGACGTGCAAATCAACCACGGAGTTTTACAAGCGCTGGACCTGTAGTGGTATATACTACTCTGTCACGAGGACGGAGTAAGGCAGTTTGGGCGAATCGTTTCCTACGAAAGATGACCCCATCAGCCGCGTTCCAAGAACTAGCTTTTTTCCCTCTCACTACTATTCGAAACCCCGACGCAATCCTTTGGAGCCATGCCCACAGCATCCTTTTTAGCTGCAGACTGGAGTACTTCAGCCGTGCGGAGCAGACACATCGTGGGCCATGCCGGCCTTGAAATTTCGGGGCGAGCGACATCGCAATCCTCCAAGCTTCCTTTCGTGAACTTCTTGTCCCTCATCTCCTACACTATTCTAACATGTCTTGTGCGCACTACGTGTGTCTCCTCCCTCTACCTGACTAGGTGGAACGAACAACGCACCTGATGGCACCCCGCATGAGTAACGCCGCTTGACGAATGCTCCTCGGCATCGGAGAGCAACCGAACTGGCCGGCGGGGGACGGTAAAGAAATCACGCTAAGCCCCTCCCCTTCAACCCTCGACGAACCCTGCTGCCCACCCTGCGGGAGATAACCCGAATCTCCCGCCCCTGGTCGCATCCCTGACCCAGCCGCAGACGTCGTGGCAGGGTGTCCCGGGCCGCTCCTTTCTCCCCGCCGCCCCACGACCGGAGACGGAATGGAGATAGGTCTTACCTCGGAGTCAAACCCTGCTATCCTTGTCTCTGATGCCTGCCTCCGCGCTTCCGGCGGTGTGTTTTCCTGTCCTCCTGGCTTTCCCGCGTGCGCTATCACTGTTGCCGATGTTGTAGCCGTACCCACCGCGGTCCGTTCCCCAGTGCCTTTTTCACCGCGGCCGCCACCGCGACCACCGATTCCAACGCCATCACAATTTCCCTCGCCATCACCGCCACACCCGTCGTCTACTGGAAACCCGAACGGTACTCCACCTGCCGCCTGGATCGGCTCGAGGCGCACTTTGTCGATGTCTTCCCCCGCTTCCCTGCCGCTGCCACCGCCGCCGCCGCCGCCGCCGCCGCCGCCGCCACTCTTCGGCCGACGACTGCTTTCGCTGTGACGACGGCGGCCGCCGCCGTAGATTTCTTCGCCCAGGGAGGCGCCGCCGCCGCCTTCGGCGTCATGGTAAGAGGCTGGTGCGGTGGCGGCCGCTACCGGCGACGGTGCCGGTGTTGACTGCCGCCGGCGGTGATGGTGAGGTCGCCGCCGGAGCTGGGGCGACGGCGGGAGGTAGCCGTCTTCGCCGTCCTTGTCCGTACGGGGCCACGACTTTTGAGGGATTTATTGCAGGCGTTCGAGCAGAGGCAGATTGAGGGGGGGGGTGCACTCAGATGTTGCCTGCCGTCGACGGTTGACCGATGCCACGTTATCAAGTTGATGGGGCGGCAAACATTCTCGCAGTACCACTGCTCGACCGAGCTACAGCAGCTGACACCGGTTTCATAACCTAAACCGCGGCAAGCAAGGCATGAAACAGTCTTCCTGTGGAAATTTAGACGAAGCCCGATGTGGAACGCGTAGTTTCTTGTGGTTCGCTCGCAAGATGAGTAACGTCTTTCTCTCAATACCAGGCTCACCCGTTGCCATGTCCTGTCGCGTCCCGCGGTGGCTCTATATCGCGAAAAGCAGCGTCGGGTGCGAGGGAAGCGGGGAGTGGTATTGTCGGGGAATGATGGGTGAGTAACCCTTGCGGACGTCGTTCAAGAAGAGACAGAACGTGCTTCGGAGGTGAGAAGTCCGTGCTCAAGTCTACAGAACAGTTCATACCAAACATCACGCGAGTCATTGCTTCATCGGAGGCGAAAGAGTTGTGCTCTGGCGCCTCCTGCTTCGCCAGGCGTGGAAATCCTTGGAAGGTGGATGTGGGGACAGAGAACAATGGACTGAATTTTGTTTACCTCATACCATGAGTCGGATAATCCAGTTCAAATAACATCGATACTCTGCTCATACCCGAAAGCCACAACGGCGAAAACGTCTCCATCCCACACGTCACTGCTCCGGTCATTCCCAACTAAACCCGAATCCCGACCCGTACACGGGCCCCTCAAACTAAGACCCAGCCGTAGACCACTACAGGTACCTTTCGAGCTCCCGCACCAAGGCCGTTACGGTATCACGTCGAAGCCTCCGCCAGCCCACCCCTCCAGCGAATGCTGAAGCAGCGGCCGCGGCCGCCTGATCCTCTTCTATCCAGCTGCTGCTACCCCACGTCCCAAAACTCCGCCTAGAGGTGTCGAACACACCACCATCGGCGCTGCTGTCTCCGGGGTTCCTTCCTTCAGCTTCGTCTGGCGGGGGGTGGGTGTTTTTTGTGGCCACGTTACCTGCGTCTTCGTCGTTGTTTTCGTTTTCTTCCTCCGATGAAGACGCGAAATACACTTTGCTGCCGCCTTTGCCATCCGCATTGGCTGACGTCCCTCCTCCTGCTTCCTCTCCGGTAGCCCCTGCCGCTCCCGTCGCAGCAGTTACTGGTTTGTTCCTCGCTGTTTCACCATCCACTGCCACGGTAACGTTTGCTGAGTCTCCGAATGTCGGTCCTACCGTGTAGTGGTGGCTGTGCAACTTGCCCGGCCGGTCTTCGAGCGCTTCGTCCACGGGCGCCGAATCTAGTTGTTGCACATGTCCCTGGCTGCTTCGTCGTGAGCGGGTGCCATCGTCGATCTGACGGACCTCCTCTACAGCAACAGTCGCAGGTTCAGTCGACGTTACCGCGACCGCCGCCTGGCAAGAGGAGCGTCGCCACTGGTGATTCTCTCCGCCGGTGTTGGCATCGCCCTTGTCTCTCACAGCGAAAGGTTTTTCGCAACTCCCCGACCCTGGTGCCGGGCCCGAGCCGGCGGTGCTGATGTTGTCTCCCGCCGATAGCACCCCGCCAGCGCCAACATTGTCATAACCATTTTCCCCTGGAGCGATCCGTCTCGTGGTGTCAGCGCCTGGCCGTTGCTGGTCGTCCTCAGACGCACCGACCTTAGCGATACCTTCGATTGCATTGGCGGAGGAAAAGGCCCGCGGGGTAGATGAAGAACGGTTACGATCGTCGCGGCCAGGCCTTCTGGTGCTGGGGGCTACTCCTCCTGTTGCCTCGGATTCGCTGTTGGTGGTGAAGGCGACTGGATGGCGGTCGGCAGTGGCGTTCGCGGCGGGCTGGGTCCTGCTGCTGCTGCCCCTGTGGTCGCTTTCGCCGTCCTCAGCACCGGGCGGCCCCGCCGGCGAGGCTCGCTGTTTCCAGGCGCGAAAGGTCTGTGGCGGCAACGGGACCGACACCTCAATGCCAGCTATCATGACTTTCATGATGGTCCCACCCGTTGGAGTGCCGTCTGCGGTGCGACAAAGGAACGCAACAAGGTTACGATGGAAGCAGACGCGGAGCGGTTCACATTGAGCTCAGGGTTGGACGATCGAAACTACGGGCAACGGGGAATCTCTACTCTAGAGGAGTAACACGATTTTGGACCGTACACAACGCATCGGCGTTAGAGAACCTGCGCATTCATGTACAACGGGCCGGTCAAAACGCCGGTATATTTCACTGGCTTCTTTCACTCGCCGATGTTCTTAATCCAGGCAATTCCCTGCTTCGCCACCGTCAGTCACTCCCCCATATCCTCACCTTCTCCCTCCATGTGTTCCCACACGCCGGTGTTCCCGACCTCGACCCCAGCCCCCTGGTTCTGGCTGGGAGCTGCCTCCGCACCTCCCTCAAGTGGTACAACCACACCGCCGGCGTCCTGCCGCTGTCGCCGTCTCGACAGAGAACGCTCCCCTGCCCAATATCCGTCTGTCATCTCCAGATCGCCGTCGGCTACTCCACGCTGAATGCCCCCAGGCCGGGCTTCCCCGCTGCGGGTGGGCCTGGCAATCTCCACCCCGACGTCTTCTCCGTCTATCACCATGCTGTTGGCCCGGTTCGTTTCCGCCGATCCCTGCTCTTCTGGCTCTCTTCCTGCTCCCCCAAGTGCGACACGTCTTGCACCTGACCTTTGAGATTGCATTCCCTCCTCCTCGACCGCCGCCACCGCAACTATTGTGACCCCTTGCCTTCTTTCACCCCCGGGAATAGATTGTTGCTGCCTCTTGGCCGTGCGGTGTTGATCTGCGCCCTCGCCCTGATGCGCTTGTTCTATCTGGAAGCGGGTGGCGCCATTCTCGTGTGCCACTTCCCTCCGACGCGGAACTTGACTATGAGAGCCTTTCTCTTCCTCCCCTTCCCACCGTGCTTGCTCCTTTTCAGCGCAAACTTCCGCCGGTCCGAGCGACGGTAACACCTCGACCAGATTGTGCGGAGCCCCCGCGACCCGACCGAACGCCGCACGCTCGCTTCTACTCAATTCTATCGCTGAAGAGTACTGCAGGTTTTCTCCCTGGGCCCCGTCGACTTTGGCCTTGCCGAACGATGTCGCCGTACTCGCCGCCGCGCTGCGGCGCTCTTGTCGCCTCTGCTCGCCGGTTTCGCGCACGTGTCTTTCGGCTTGCCGGCGATGGGTTTCGAGAGGAGCGCTGCTCCTGAGCGCCTGTGCACGACAAGGGTGGATGAGTTTTTAATTACGATAGGGTGCAGCAGTGCATCGTCCACGTTGTCACTCAATCTTCACTTGCTGTCGGGAATCACGATTTCGTGTAAGCTCTGCCCTACTCAACCATGCGAGGAGCCATGGCCAGGAACTCCGCCGTTCATGTAAAGCAGCAGTCTAGTCAACGCGAGGTGCTGCCTGGATTAAAGTAGGCTGGACTTGCGTAGAATACACGGGTTCATCTTGGCGGACTGACTTCGAGTGTTAGACGCTCACGAGTCTCAAAGCAAACCATCATCGGCGCGTGACGAATCAATGTCTGTCTGGAGCAAACACCACATACTGTTCCTGCGTCTGTCTGCACCTGATTTTCATCGCTCCCTTCGAACGACGAGATGCCCCGGGCAGCACTCGCGCCGCATTCCTTCAACGCATCCAGAAACTCTTGCCTCAGGCGCATAGCGCGCTTGAGCTCAGTCTCCGCCCCCACCCCAGCATCGATTTCTTTCGGCGCATGACGATAGGAGTCCCAGCCACGATGTGTCGGTGCCGATGGGTCATAGTCTTTCAAGTCCTGCTCCGCTGCTACAGGCACCCTCCCTATCGAGACAAACCGTACAGGGAATCAATGATGTGTGGAAGCGGCGTTGCTGTTTATTATTGTTGTCGTGAGTTTATTCATGTTAATTACATTCCATCTCTGTAGACTATGACAAGATATCATGACTTCGGGGCGTGAATGGGGGAATGATGAAGTATGCAAGACAACAAGGAACATTGCACTAGGTTGCAAGTTAGTCTATATGCAATCGTGATGTTGAAGGGTAGTTTTTCTCATTGATTCAACCACGGACTAAACACGGCGGCGGAGGCATAGCTAGAGACGGACGAGACCTGTTAGCCTTGGGCAGCAAGACGCTGAGACGGAATCAGTCACACTATCCAGGTGCCACCGCATCCTACCATGAAAATGGTTTGAAGTTCCAAACTCCACGGCCCCAAGGTAGTTTTGGCCACCAGGAAGGCGTTCGGTCCAGAACTATTGTGATGTATGAATTAATTGAGTAGCTCATGTCGCTGAGCCGCTGACTAGTCAAACGAGCTAGCCGTAGCGGGCCAAGTAGCGCAGCTGGGTCTGTACGTAGGTATCTGTTTTATTGTTCTTCTCTATTCTGGGCGATTGCGTACAACGACACCTACCAAATTTACTCTTCTACTTCGCCTGGTGTCAACGTGTGACGTAAGCGGGGATCAACAGTCGTTCTCGTTTTCGTTTTCGAATGAATGAAATGTACTTGAAGTATGTATTTTGTGTATAAAATAACACGTAGCTTGGAACTAGGTTTCATGAACTGCCCATGAGCTGTCAAACGTGTCCACGAGGTGCCAGAAGGTTTCACAAGGTGTGAGGTGTCATGAGATCCCAGGAGCTATTATGGCGTGCCATGAGCGGTCAAAGGTGCCAATGTCTGTGATGAGGTGTCGCAAGGTACGATGAGGTGTCACGAGCTGTCACGAGCTGTCATGGAGTGTCATGAGCTGTGATGAGATACCATGAGCTGTCATGAGGTACCATGAGCTCTCAAACGGTGACATGAGGTTCCATGGGGTATCGTGACGTGCCATGAGGTTGAATGAGGTGCTACAGTATGAAGTGTCAGAGGTATCATGAGATCCCATGAGCTATCATGACGTGCCATGAGCTGTCGAAAGGTGTCAATGGGTGTCATGAGCTGTCACGAGGTACCATGGGCTGTCAAAAGGTTCAATGAGTTGCCATGAGGTACCATGAGGTACGATGAAGTGTCACAGGTCTCATGAGGTGTATAGGTGTCACGAGGTGCCATGAACAGTAACAAGGTGTTTGAGGTGTTATGAGGTGCCATGAGGTATCATGGTGTATCATGAGGTGTCGTGGGGTGCCTCGTGGGACGTCCCATGAGACGCCCCATGAGACGCCTCATGGGTTTCATGAGACGCCTCATGAGGCCTCTCAGTCGTACCATTAGAATAGACGTATCATGGGCCGTCATGGGGCGTCTCTTGAGACTCTTTGAGGTGTCATGAGACGCCTCATTATTGGGTGAAGTAATGTACCCCTAGACTACAATCTTGGAGCGTTTACTGTGAGGAGTATGTACATGTAGTCTAGACTGTGTGCCGGCGAATATGGAGTCTGTACAAATGTTGCTCCCGCGCGCATGCGATTGGGAGTTTTCGAGCGGTTTCTTCTAGTCGATAGGTTGGCCTACAGTCGCCCGATATTTACCGCTGTTCTATGTACAAAAGAACTGCGTGGTTGCATAATATGCATACGACCGTCTTTGCGACGAGAAAGTGATATATGATTAGTCTTGCTGCAGCTGTTCTTTCTATTCCACGCCGGACTGTGTGCTCTCTGGGAGACGAGATCTCGCATCCGTAGAGGGTGCCGAGTTGCACACAAAGCAAACGGATCAAATATATGAGGATGACACCGTGCGCTACAGTTCAGAACAACGGTTTGGTTGTTCCTGCTGACTGGAGGCGCTGCGAAGACGATTTATTGTATTGTCCGCGTCATGTTTACTGCTGACCGCAATCTAGCTATTTTCTCGCTGCTTGTACCACAGCAGGGTAGTGGCATCAAGCTTGGCGGCATCGACACATTCCGACGACTTGTGTTTTCTCGACAAGCAAGAGCATGAACACCACGCATGGAAGCACGAACCACCCACCAAGGCAAAAGTCCTGTTGCACGCCAGAAGCGAACAGTAGCTCCTTCTGATCTCGTGTCCCACATTCCATCACTGCGAGCTGTGCGCCCCGGGTGGGCCCGCAGCAGCAGTGGTGGATTGCTATACGGTCGGAAAAAATGTGGCCGTGGCGTTACCAGTTGGATCCACGATCTCGCGGACCCCCCCCCCCCGCACCTGCGCCCCACTTCGCGCGTGCCCCCCAAATTCCCCCCAAGGGAAATGGAACCAGGAAATGAATGCCGAGCTGTGCGAGATCCAATATAATGCACGGCCCTCTTGCGCCCAAAGCTATGTTCAGACGCCCACACATCCCAGGATGTTGGAGCTCGGAGTCACCCCTAGTTGGTGGCGCACTGCGTGCGCGGGTTGTTTCTCGGAGCTCGAGTGTACTGCTGTAAATCTCCTATCACGTTTATTGTTATTGGAAACGAAACCAACCCTTGAACGACCCGATGCGTGGAGATGCATAACGCAACAAACATCTCATCCGCATCTATCTGTCGGTTTGCTCTCCCACGACGACCCGTTCTTCGTGTCTGGTGTGGAAGCTCAGCAGCAATACAGTTCCTCGAGGGTCAAATGCATCCAATTTCCGTGTCGGCAAAGGTAGTTGCTAGCGAACGTGTGAGCACAATAGTGCTCCCAGTGGCAGTCAGTGGTGGCCGCTGCAGTAAGAGTCAGGTTTTGTTTCCGGATGGTGCGTCCTCGACGGACGTTGGGGACATGCAAGGTAGATATGGTACCTTGTTTGAAGGCCACCTCCGTACTAGTCCTCCCCTTGTAGGAATTTTGTTTTTGTTTGCTAGACAAGAATACGGGCAGCAGCCTAAACCAGACTGATTCGTGGCCACTGTTTTTGGAACGTGCCTTGATTTGTCTAGAGTCCGGGATCCGTTTGCCTTCTTTTGTTAATCGTAAAATGGGTACCCTTTGGGGTACTTAGAGCGCGGCCACGGAAGGCGTCCGCTCCAGTTCGAAGTGTGGATGTTAGAGACCGGAAAGACCTTTTTAGCAAAGAGTTTATTACAACAACATAACAACAGCAACCACAACCTTCATCATGTTTTCATGCGTGCGCCGCGTCCACCAAGCCATCGTTGATCTGGCTATTAAGTTCTGTGGTCCTCCACCAAGTGTTTTGCAGGGTGGCGGGATCTGGAGTCCATCGTCTTCCACCTTGCTCGGAGTTCTCGCCGTGGTCCCAGTCAGAGTGTGAGAAGGCGGAACCATCCTCGACGAACAAGTCGGAGCGATAGGACCATTAGGGGCGCTCACCTGAAGGTCAGCCCTCCAGAGGGTTCAGGTATGCAATCTTGTGTACGAGAGACGAAATTGAAGGTGGTTCGTTGGATAAGAGGGGGTCCCTACGAATGGCGCACGTCTCACTCGCCTGCCTTCGCGTAGTGATCGCTGTAGAGAGCACCAATGGTAACCCTAGATGGGTAAGCACAAGCAACGCACGCGCTCGTTCATTACGTCGGTGGTTTGTTCTTGTCACACGTCCATTATGACCTCTTTCAGGGAATCATGCGGGAAAACAATACATCTAAGAGGGCTCCGTCTGGAATGGATGTGGATACGCTTTGCAGGTGGTGTGACGGGTCTCTTCGGAACCCGTACACGCCCTGGCTGCTCACCTGTACCAAACATTGCACACACCCCGCGGCGTAGACAGCTCTGGTATAATAGAACGGATCTGCGTAGGGTTCATGTCGTCAAGGGTTCGAATGAAAATAATATGTCTCCTTCCGCTCCTCATCGGCAGCACGTTGTTGTCCGCCTGCCTTAGAGGTCTGAAGCACACACGATATGCCCAAAGATTAGTTCTTGGTCCGAAACAGTAAGTCAAGGGAAACGAAACAGTAACACGAAAAGTCAAAACACCAACATCAAGGCCCTTTTAATCTACACGCCTCCCGCAGTTTGTATGGCCAGCTCTGCCCGCAGCGGTCCTTTTGCACGCAGGGTCTACAAGAAGGGGAAAACACTCGGCCCAAGCCGAAGGCGAGGATAAGCCACGAAGCACCGCACGCCCGAGAACACACTCAACAGATCAAAGACGAGGGTGCTCCTTAAGCAGGAAGCACGAGTCGATGGCGCACGTCGTCAAAGGTATTGTAGCATCGCAGACCGCAGAACATCAAAGGCTACCACGGAAGAGGCGTCGGCGCTGGTTTAACAGGAAACCAAGACGGGCAACTTTTGTCAAGCAACGGGCCCAATGCTAGGGCCCTCTCAGCCAACGGATCCCTCTCAACCCGCTCCCCGCGGCCACGTTGGTCTCAGGGCCGTTGATGATGTACGCGGTGGCGGAGCCGTCCTCCTTGGTGTCGAAGGTACCCAGAGAGGAGTGTATCGTGACCTTGGGGCCCGCGTGACCGTCGCCGTCTTCGTCGTGGACGCCTCCGTCCTTCCCTCCGTCCTGCAAAAAAAAAAACACGACGACAGTCGTGATGGCGAAGGGCTGCGTTCTCTGCTTGAGGATCGTTGCTATTGTTGTGCCCAAAACGTTTTGAGAATTTGGAGCAGCTAAGGAACCGAGGGAAGAGACTGAGAAAATGTAGCATACATATGTTGTCGATGCCCGGGCTAGTACTCCTGCCCCGTAGACTGGTTGCTCGCGTAGAATGTGGTTACCGGTTGCCCTCCAAAAGAAGTATTCACATTGTGTCGGGCGTCAGCTCTGTAGTGTGGTCCAGTGTGAATCGTTACGCAAAGCGTACCCTAGAGTGCTTGTGGCTTCGAAGCCATGGCTGTTATAGTTGGAGTCGCCGCAATCGTGGACGTGGATTATCTTCCCCTCTTCCATATAAAAGAGAATGTCCATCCATGGGGAGAAATTGTGCGGGTATGAGACAACCAATTTCAACCGGTACTTTGGCGAACACCCGTCCAATGCACGTCAGCGGTAGAGAAACCAGTCAAAACAGTTGCAAGTTTGTGTTGTTTTTGAAACTGGTTCCAGGTTCATAGGCGTCTGGGATAAGAAAACCACTAATCAGCAGATCCCATGACGATAAGAGGCGCGCGCGAAAGCGTTCGTTTTTCCTAGTTTTCTTTCGAACGTCACCGTACCTGTCCCCGACTTCTACTGTTTGCTCCGGCCTCAACATATTGCCGTGCATCAAGGCTCTTCGAGTCACCACCACCATGGCTATGTCCCCGCGCTGCCGTGCTGTCACCACCCCTTTCGTGCTCCGTGCCCAGCAGCAACAACATGCTTTCTTTCGTTTTGGTACCGTAGTCATAGACAACGCGAATATCCTCCTCAGGTACCTGACGATGCGGTCGGGAGTGAAGGGGTTCACCCACTTGTTTCCACAAAGATGCTCCTTGCCAGTTATTGAAGAGTCATAGGGAGGGAAACGTAATGACCACTCTCCTTCCAAGGAGATGTAAAACGTTCTCTGGTTAGGAAGAAGAAAAATATATTGAACCACGAATCGGCTTCAGAGCTCGTCTAGTCGACCTACACATCTCAACGCAGTCTGCATGGTCGAGGCCCTAGGCACGAAGCGCCTCTTTCAGAAATGTTTTCCCGCAAATAGTGTGATTGACGTCGCTTCACGCCGACTGATTTGAACACACCTCGCTTTCTCGGTTATTGTCGTCGAGGTAGAAGAGGTCGTACGCCAGCTGCCGCCGTCGCCCGATGGAGCCGGAACCACCCGATGGTACTGCTTCGTCTTTCTTCTCGTGAACGGCAACTACCTGGGTTGGGTACCGTGTGAAGGTCGACCAAAACTGTACGTGATGCGCCCACTGCGCTTGATAGCTCGTCGCGACGAGCCTGCGTTAAAATTGGCAAGCTTGCTAGTACACATGGTGCTGTCAATAATACGCGCCACCCCTTGAAGAAACTGGCCTCTAGAAAGTCAGCCTTATAAAAAGCAAAGTATATTCGTCAAACAGATGGAAAACCTGCGATTTATTCTGGTGACAATTTCGGATTGTAGTTTCATTAATTGTTCGGAAACTTGGGGTCACCAGGGATGAAAGTAAAACCCCCTCCTGCCATTCCGTTGACAAGAAAGCACGCAGCGGTGTAGCAAGTTGAGTGACGAACGGAAGGTACAGAGCGTGTGGAGAGAGGTACGGACAGTAGTGGCCGCCCAACGTAGACGGCGGCAGTATCATAGCGAAAGTCCCGCCTTCCCATCCCTTTTCTTTCGAAGGTGGGGGAACAAGCTCGGGAGTAGTCGGTTTCTAGTGGGGTGTTATAGAATGGTGTGTACCATTTGGGGCCTTGGTCAGTTTCGGACGCCTACGCTTGCAGTCATGGACCTCCGGCTGGTATTGTTTGCGAGGATAGAGGCGGGTTTGTAGGAGTCAATGCCGCGCCTCGTAGTCAACGTGGCTAGCGAAGATGGTGTGTGTTCCCTGTGTCACTCTCCCCAGCGTGTGGCCTAGAAACAGAATAAACATAGTGATGCAACTCGAAAGAAACAAAAACAACTCAAAGTAGACAGGCTTGCACAGTCAAAAATCTTGCACTGAAAACCCACGTACTGTAGTCTTGCATCACACGTCAGTTTCTTTGTAGCTGCAGCCAACAAGGCAGCTGTGCAGCGACTGCTGTGACAGCGCAGTTGCTATAAAAGGCTCGTGTTGCAAGAACTTTCACACCAAAGTTGCGAGAGTCGGTCATTGTGGCCACCAGCGAGATCCGTAGAGGGTTCGTCAAGTTCAGCGGGGATCCAGGTGACTTCATCGGCTGGCGAACCCTTCAAACCTCCCTGTTGTACATAGGGAGGCTATAAACCCAAGGTCATGTTGGGAGAGGAAACTGCCCCGACGGATCCCGGAACTGGAGCTACCCGAGGTCTCCTGGTACGAGAAGGCTGGAAGAGTACAAGAACTGGATGATCTTCACCCGACTCACGGAATTATGGGTCGAGTGAAGATGATTCTTGTCCTGGTACTCCTCCAAGGCCTGCTGGTACGCGGAAGCCTGGGTCGTCGCAGCACTAGCTCCGGGATCGGTAGGAGCAGTCTCCGCTCCCGACAGGACTTTGTGGATCTTTTCCTCCTCCAGTAGGGAGGTATGCAGGCAACCGACATATATTTGGTCGCCTGGATTCCGGCTGGACTTGCGAATCCTCTACCGATCTCGCCGGTGGCCATGATGACCGACTCGTGCGACTCTCGTGTTGGATGATGACCACCTGTCAGCGTTGACCGTCTAGTGGCCATTGTGCTTCTCAACATCAGTCATTTGACAGGGTATGCGTTGCCTCAATCTCCTCGAAGACGTGCATGATTCTGCACATAGGTTCGATTGTTGGCTGCCTGGTTGAACTGTAGTACGCTGCTGGCAAAGTAGTCTACGCTTCGGCGCTGGCTCGTCAATGGGGTCTATTATAGTGGCCATGTGGGTCCAATGTCTCCTGCACTTCTCCAACGCGATCTTTTTATGTCTCTCGCATGCATAGGGAGCCCTACTATTTGAAAACCCCAGCCAGAGAGCGGATCCTATTGACGCAGTTAAATCCGCTGCCGCTGCCACTTATCATCAGCGTAAATGGCAGTAACCACACAATCGAGTGCTGCACGCATCACTTCTCTTTCTCACACATCTCTCACCTTAGCAGGGAACCAGACGCCGTCAATATCCCTCTCAACAACTTCTCCCACTCGAAAAGGTTCCCTGTGATGCTGCTGCTGCTGCTGCTGCTGCTGCTGCTGCTGCGCTACTCCCTCGCCAGTGAGCATGTGGCGTGGATGTCGGGGGGTATCCGCCAAGGACGCACCCGTCGATCGCCCCGTGCAATTGATGATGCCCCTCCGCCTGTGGTTCGCATGACTAGCCTCCACGCATGTCGCGCGCTGGCTCAGTGAGCTGGATCGTCCGCTAAGCGTTGATGGTGTTGACCTGTATTTGTGTATTTGTGTGCCGTGAGACGTGTTATTTTGGCGATCAAGCAGTTCTGCCGAGAGAAATCGACGAGATTTGGGGCGTTTCGGTTTCACAAAATTCCCACCTTTCTTTACTAAAACCTCGCTGCTGCCCGTGTGCCCCCCTTCTAAACACTGCAGCGGGCACAAACCAAACGAGAGAGAGACGAACAGAACAGGGCGGGACGAAAGTAGTGATAAAGCATGCCTCCGGTCCACTGGCACAAGCTCCCCTGGCGGCAGTTGATCTCGCACGAAATCAGGCGTGATGGCTTCAAGCCGTTCTTCATCGGAATGGGGTGAGTGCGCAAACAGCATCAACAAGGCCGTTTTTCTTCTCGGTGGTTGGCTTGCGTTTCGAGCGCTCTACAGCAGGCAGGTTTTGGGTGCTGTTGCCTATCACACACCATCCCGAGCACCCCAAGGCCAAACGGTTGGACTATCCTGTACATTGAGCCCGAGTGGGTCATTGCCTCCTCAGCTGGTCAGGAACAGCGTTGTAGTGCACACAGCACACGCCGTCGCATCGACGCATAGTCTTACGCAGAATCGCTGCCCACAGAACATTTCCAATCCTCCAGTCTAGGCGATTGTACCGAAGGCTCATCCTCCCAGCCGGCTGGTGTAGACCGCATGCAACATTTTACTCCGAAATGCCCACCTTTGCTTGGCATCCCTCTACCAGAGTTGAGGAAGGTAGCCCAATCGTGTGATACGGCTCGTCGACAAAAACATTGTTCGACCGCCGGTGTGTCTCGCGTGGTGGGGCGAAGTGTACCACACACTCGAATGACCAGTGCGGCGCCCTGAAAGTGCCATGAAAGACTGATTCCCTTTCGGCACGATTGCATTGCTCGCGGGCGGAGAGATTTGTGGCATGCAGATGCTACAACTGCACACATGTTGCTGCCTTGGGTTGTACACGAAACCCAAGGAAACATAACGTCCCACTTTTTAGTATCATTGCACGCCTTTTGCGTTTTCCGGGGATTTTTTGTTTTCGGCCCCTCCCCCCCACCCAAGTTGGTCGCTGCTGAGCTAATATGGGGCAATCACTTCGTGCTCTCCCCACACGCGCTTTGGCATGTTAGCAAAGTAGAGGGATTGTCTCAATCATGTCATGCCGCCTGCAAGGTGTAGCGAAAACACAGAGTGTCCTAGTTCGGACACCGCCGGTCTTGGACATCGCCTCTTGTCCTTGAGAAAGCTTACGTTTAGGTTGTCCGGGTCCTCGTTTCAGCGCGAGACCAGTAGCACGTCGATTCGTTTTACGAAGCGAAACGTGGGCGAAGTCATCAGCAGCTGTTCTATTGTTTGTTGGTTCGACTGCTGGTGGAGGGGGCTGCACTGTGTTTGCTCGACTAGATGCTAGAGTCACGGTCTCGACACAACCCTCAACTACATTTTCGCGCCCCTCGAGGGCCAACGGCTGTTGCTCTTTCGCCTTGGAAAGCTGCAGGCGAATACCGTGAAATAGTACTTGTTTCGTTTCTGAGTACCACAAACTATTTCGCCCACTCACTGATTTCAACACACCCCTTCGACTGTCATCTCGAACGGTTAGTCTTTGTGTTCCTTGTATATTTTCTTTATGAGCCGTGTTCGGGGGCAGGCAACTGCCCTTGCGCTTCGAACAGCTTTCGCACGGACCTTCGAAATTCGGAGATAGCGCCTACAACAGTAAAAGGAACCTTCCACGAAGGACGCCTAGAACCCCCCCCCCCCCCCCCCCC